AATCACATCATCCGTAAAAAATAGTCTTAAGATCACTATTCGGATATAATGATTTGAACATCTCCAAACAAGATAATCAAGGTCCAAACTTTGTGAAACTCGTCGATAATGACCAAATTGGCGATAGAGTCCATGTTAATTAATGGTTTTATTGATATTAATTACATGGTTAATTAGTTGATTACAACTGTACAAATTACATTAGTTCGAAGCAATTGTGTTTAAATTTTCTAGAATACGACATGTGAAAAACACATAAGTTTAAATTTTTCTAGAGATCTATCTAACCTCTGGTTTTAAACCCTAGCACTAAACACGCAATGAAAGCTTTTGAGGTTTTGGTACTTGCTCGCTTCTTTAGACAACAACGATAGGAACGTAGCACCTCCCCTTGCCTGAGTTCTAAGAGAGAATGCTCCCAAACCCTCAATTAGCGCACAAAAGTTCCTATAGGATCGACTAATACCCAAAATTTGAACCGGTACCCGAGCAATCCTAAACCCCAACTAAACCCATTACTCTTCTAATTGTACCCGATAATTTTTTATTCCCCATTCTAACTTTTTTATTCGATTAAATTCGTGTTTTTCAGGTACTTTGGATATTTTTCCGATAGTTAAGGTAGATTCGGGTAAAAAATATCCGAATCGAAAAATATCCAAAAAATATTGGTTCTAGACCGGTTCTCGAATCAACTATTAAACCGATTCGAACCCAAAGACGGCCAATTTTTGGACTTTTTGTCTTCTCATAACGTACATTATGATTGACTATTCGAAAGCTTTTGGAAGAAAAATCCCGAAAAACTGTCAGAGTTGTGTTATACTCCCTCTGTTCCTAATAGTTTGATGTTTTAGAGTTTTCACGCATATTAAGAATTTAATCATTGTTTAATCATTTGAACATTAATTTTAATATTACATATTTTAAAATAATTATCAACCAATAGTAATTTAAGAAAGTTAATTATTTTCAATCATTACGCTTTGAAATTTACGATTTATTATTATATATCTTTGTGGAACAAATGACAAAAGCTAGAACATCAATCTTTTAGGAACGGAGGGAGTAATATAAAAACAACTTTCTATCGTTTAAAAGCTAGCGAGTGGATCTGAATTCCTACCCAATGAGAAATTGAGTTAACTTTGTCCTACAACGATTGAGGTGCGTGTCGTATCTACTAAAAATTCAGCAACGATGATCTGATAACAATTTTTCTGACAGATACCAAAAATCTATCATGACAACTTCAATAGAATGCACTTTATAATTACAACTTTTGTACCAACTCTACCAATCCTATTCTAAATTCAAGTAACTACTAAAAATAAATTAAATTGTATTAATGAGTGGCGACTAGAAAAAAAAATCTACCGTCTATATAAAGTATAAAATTAACCAAAAATTCCAGCCAGAGATTTAAAAATAAAAAAATTTGGATAAGAAATGAATGGAAATTAAGCACTAATTCGATATAGAAAAATTACACAAAATCTAGAAATCAATCCACTTCTTATCATCAAATTCCCTACAAAAAGTTCTTAAAAAAATATTTAAGGAAAAAGATTCTCTTGTTGTAAGTTCTAATCTCCCTTTCAGTCTTCTCATGTTATTTCCATGGTTGGTCTTAAAGAAATTTTACCGTTTTTTGAATATTTAAATGTCTTTTTTTTCAAAATTAAGCTCGATTTGTCATGTAGCAATCATGATTTGACGATAATCACATTTCTCATGCCTTATTGTTACTCTCTAAATACGTGCTTACATATATATGTAAAGGCATATGTATTTATCTATTTGTATATATATGCACCAAAGCAACACACGATCTCTACAAGATTAGTGGGATCGATTATAGCTTCACATCTGAAAAAATAAAAACTAAAATTTTGTTGATCGATTTGCTTAATCTCTGTAAGTGTTTTAACACAGATAGTGCATGCCATATTCTCATATTTTATGCTGCTTGTTTGTATATATTTTTTTCGGAAATGTTTTTGTAAATTGTATTCATATAATTGATTTTCTTGAACGTTTCTATAGTGAAAATGGAGCAGGAATTGGACTTAACACTGAAGTTGGGTTTGCCAAATTCGACTGTTGACACACATCTGAGCTTAAACCTTTCCACCACCACCACTAATCAGGTCTTATTTCATTAATTTGTTCCTCTCTTTTTTTCACTATAATTGATTGATGTGGGGATGAATAAATATGAAAAATCTTCATCTCATGGATCAATTCCTAGAGAGATCTATTGATACCATCTATGCTTTCATTTATTTGCTTTTGAAAAAATTGACTAATTCTTTTTTATCAGAAACAATCTCAAAGTTTTTTAAATTCATTGAACTATTATTAAATTCATAAAAATCTCTCTTAAAAAACGGTAATCCCACTGTCTTTTTAAAGGTAAAAAACACTAATTGGAGGAAAAAAACATTGAAATCCTTATCAGCATCTTATTTTTACAGTTCTTTCCTACATATGGACAAATATTACATAAAATATGCATTAATTACTAATAAATGGAGATTTAATTAATAATGTAACAAACATATATAGAGAACCAACGTCGGGGCCGACGGCCGTGGAGACAACAACAACGACGGCGGCGAAGTTTTGAACTACCGTCGGGCTCTTTGGGGAAATGATGAAGTGATCCACAACGAAGCTGCAAGAAACAACGTGGAATTCAACATCAGAATCTACAATTACGTTTTTCAACAGTTAGCTGGCGCCCCCAACACCTTGAACTTTGCTCCTTATCCGATGCCATCTCCGGCACCGGCTCCGGCACCAGCACCGGCTCCGGAGACTCCTCCGGCGAGTGATGAGTATGTTCTGATTGATGTTCCTGCTAGGAGAGTTCGTCGTAACAACTCTCAGACGATGGCAAACACTTGGAACGAAAACGCAACCGCGAAACGGCTTCGCGGTTGCGGTGGATCCTGCGGGGGAAGGATTGAAGGGATGAAGAAGTGTACGAACATGAATTGTAACGCACTTAACACTCCTATGTGGCGCAGGGGTCCTCTTGGTCCTAAGGTAATTAGTCTCCGAATTTTCAACTAATAAATCATGTTTAAATATTAATTATGCTGCTTAATAATTACTATTAATTTATAAATTGGTAAATGTGTTTCAGAGTTTATGCAATGCTTGTGGGATCAAGTTCAGGAAGGAGGAAGAGAGGAAAGCCAAAAGAAATGGAGTGATTGAATTAGATAACTAATATAAAGAAAATAAGAGAGAAGTTGATTGTTAATTAGGCATTGTATTATCAATGTCTCTGGTTAAGCCTTAATTATGAGAGAAAAGCTAAAGTTTTGAGAGTTATCATTTAAGCAATTGTAATGTTGAGGTCGCTCATTTGCAAATCTTGTAAAATTCATGAATTTGTGGCTTTTTAATGAAAATCGTATTTCAGTTAACCCTTTACAAAAAAAAATTATTGGATCTATATAGAGCTTTTACTGTTATGACTTGAATACTACTGTAAAATGTCAAATTTATTTATGTAAACGTTACATGTTGATAAATGTGATTTGATAAATAATTTTAACAAACGATGTAAAAATATTCGTCTTAAAATATTTGTCTTTTTATTCGAATTTAAGAATGTGGAGGTGTAAAGTACCAGATTCTATATTTAATAATGGCAGAATACAAAAAATAACACGAACGTTACTTGGAAAAATTATACATATCGAAAGTAATACATATTCACACACAATTACACATAATTCAAATCATTTGGTTCAAACTTTTATCAAATTTCAGTTTTTCACTAAATAATAAAAATAGATACATTTTAGTCATAAAATTGGTATATTTGATATCAAAAGAAATTCCAAAATAGTTAATTTTTTATTTCTCCAAATATATGCTATTGCAGAAATGTTATTTTTATTTTCCAGAAATGCTATCATATATTTTCCTTTTCTTGTCATTTTTAAATCAAAAGTCTCGTTTTTTTTTCTTTTGCACACCAATCAAAAGTCTAGTTAAAAATCATATATCTACCAGAATATGATTTTGTATTCTAAATTCGACTGAATAATATTTTCTCTAAAACGTAAAACCAATGTAAATAAATGGTAAAAAAAAAAAAAAAAAATGTAAATAAATGGTTTTACTCGCAGCTTGTGCTCGACTTGTTGCATGTCGGACAAGACAGTATGTATAAATGCAAAACCATTTACATTTAGTAATAGAGAAATTTTTTACACAAAGGAGTGTGTTATTGCAAAGCTTTCAGTAATTAGTAATTACAAAAATATATACATATGGACTGACACTTGTGGTTTCTTTAATGCAATGCTAATAAGTATAAACTTGTGGTTTGTACAAGTTTTACTACTAACTTTTGAGTCCAATAGGGCTTGTGTAACAATCTCTCTTCTCATGCTTTAATTTGAAAACCCTTTATAGATATGAAACAAAATGGACTAACACAAAACATGATCCCCAATAGTCAAATGGGTCACGTAATGTTAAGAGGATTTATTCCATAGTCGTCATGGTTTAGAGAGCACCAAGATGGTGTTAAATTTGGGCTAATTCTGGGTTTCCAACTAAAAACCAATTGGCAATTAGTGGATTGACCCTAACCCTTTATATATTATTGATTGTCCCATCAAACTTCCGATGTGGGACTTGGATTGTATCTCCAACAATCTCCCCTTCAATCCAAAGACCACATGGATCTTAACACACCTCCTCGATCCCTCACTCGGATCGATAATAAGCCCCTTTCTCGGGCCCCATTACTCGGGTTGAGGTATGTCCATATCCATTTTTTCTTAGGTCCACCAGACTTTAAACCTTGGGCTCTGATACCATGTTAAATTTGGGCTAATTCTGGGCTTCCAACTAAAAACCAATTGACAATTAGTGGATTGGCCCTAACCCTTTATATATTATTGATTGTCCCATCAAACTTCCGATGTGGGACTTGGATTGTATCTCCAACAGATGGTACTTCCCGAACACTCTAATCGTCGGGGTTTAACCGCTGAAGTAGATGAAATGCACTATGGAAGGAACCGCGTCATGTTCTATAATCTTCATAACCGAATAAAATGGTGATATATGAACACAATTTTTCTTGGACAATAGACTGACTGATATCTGTTTTTCACTGATCCAGGAGATCAAAAGTGAAATTTACTAAAAATTAAAAGAACAATAATAAAGCCACACGTTAAGGAGGAAGATAGCTCAAATTATGCTCTCAATAGGCATCTCTGTAACTTCCAAAACCTACCATCAACCAAAATAACAATCCTAACCAGAAGCAATCCATTAAGTATCTTTCTACCTAATAAAACATGCCTCCTACCAAATCAAAACCATAGGTTATAAAAAAAAAAGTTGCTATGTACCCCAAAAGGATTAGTTTGAAAAAAGGAAGAAAAAAAAAAGACTTTTCAATTCACGAACCATCTTCACAAGTGATCAGTCTTCCTGATCTTGCATTTCCGGGGTAATCCACCATTATGACTATCTTTATTATCGCCTTCGATGTTAGAAGAATCTTCGACAACCGTTTCATCTTGAATCACCGAACCTTGTTTCCTCGACAGTTCTCTTGAATCTTGTGCGACTTTGGTTTCCCTGTGTGGCATCAGCTCCTCTCCCACTGCCACCATTGTGCTCATTGGCTATGCAATAATCACCAAAACCATTAACTAACTAATATACCATTTAGAGACTTACTGAAATAAAATGACACACTAATTTATACCTCCCAATCTTTGTAATCAAATCTAAGTACGAAATGGTTGTAAGCGACCTCCCCTGACAGCACCAGGTTTGCTGCAGGAGCATTCCTTGGCTCTGAAGACAAACGAGGAAAGCGAGATAAGTGTAGCAAGAAGCCAGTTTTTTGGGGTTGGAGGGTGAAATCAACTACCAAAACCAGGCAAAAGGGAGGAAAGTTATATCTTACCAACGAAATGAGAACCATTGTTATCGACAGTTATCTCAACTCGTCCATCTTTCACCAAGAATGATAGTGCGAACACATTCTCTGCTGTCTGAGCAAATGATTTCCTATTGAGCACCAAATTTTCAATCTTGACACGTTTGTTTTTCCTCAAGATGTTAAACATTACTGCCATGTTATTGTCTGTATCACTTTTCTTTTCACCTTCTTTATCATCAACCTGAAGGATGTCAAAATGTATCCAAATCAGTTTCATTCAATCATATAATAACAATTGACAAAGTTCAAGATGCAACACCAACTAATACTAGAATCAGTCACAAATTTGCTGAGAAACTAAAGATTTCTGAAACTTGTCAAAAGATTATCTCACCTCCTCTGGCTTAACACCAACACCAGGCTTTGTACGTTTTCTGTTGCCCACTGACCTTTTCCTTTGTTTCAATTCACTATCCATAGGACCCATCCTTAAAAGATATACAAAAACAGAAATAATAATTACAAAAATTGATACTTTCAAGTAAGGTATATATACAAGTTCATATCCTAACATTAAGCACTTGTAACTCACATTGTTGTACAACCACATGATACCATAACTGTAGAGCAGACCGTAAACCCAAGGTCCTTCCACTTCAATGACACTTGTGTATTGTCATCAGCATCAATTCTTAAACAAGTTTTCCCAAACCCATTGATCAAGGCATTAACAAACTCAGCTGGAGAAACACCTCCATGAGCAGATTGCGATTTCACCGATGAAACCACACTATTCGCTAAATCTAAAAGCGCCTCCGCATCAGCAATTTGCTCTCTAGGCTTCTTAACTGCAATAAAAATTGTAACAGCACCCAAAAAGTTTATACACAAGAACATGAAATTACAAACTCCTGGTTCATTCAAAATAAGAAACATCTACTATTTTAAGACTTGGGCATATAAACGAATAGTGACAAGTTTTATTTACCTTTCTGATGCAAATTCTCAACCTCATTAATGATACGCTTAAACTTGTCAGAATCAATTTTTGTCAAATCATCTTTAGCATCTGTACCAAACAAAGTTAGGTCAGAAAAAAAAACATAAACCCTAGAGTAGAAGAAAAAAGACGTAAAAAGCGAACAATACCTTTAATCTGATGGGTAAGAGCAAGGTACTGAGATCTTATAGCTCTCCGATCAGCAATTCCTTGTTCGTCCTCTTCCTGAATCGGTGGTTCTTGAGGCCGTAATGAAGCAATAACGGTTTTACTCTGCTTCTCCTTCTTCACGATTTTCGGTCTCTCAGAGGACTCACCGGCTTCTCTTCTGCTGCTGCGATCTCTGGTTAATTTCGCTTCCCGTTTCACCGAGTTTCTCATGATGATGATCCCACCTGAGAAACGGAAAGTGGTAACGAAGAGATTGTAAACGAAGAAACCCTAACGGCGGCGAGAAGATGAAGAGACGTCGATAAATTTCCCGCCGAGAATATAATGATTTGTTCGAACTAAAGAAAAAAGGAAATTGGTGGTATTTATAGTCGGAGCTCCGACCTCGAAGTCACTGCCCCAATACAAATTCTTTTTCTTTTTTTAAAGTCGTACAAATATTATTTTGTTGACTTTTTCCTAAAGATTAGGACTCGGTTAACTATCCTCTGAACTAACTACTCTTGGAAAAAAATAGAGTAATTACTCGGTTAACTCAGCTAGAGCCATGCTTAGCTGCTCTCATGGTTGGTCATGACTCATGAGATCTACTTCGTTGGTGCCTTGGTGGTCATTACAATTATGTTTCAAGGAACCGGTTTACGGGGTGCGTACGTAGAGATCAAGCCGGAAGTGTTTGACACAAAAGACAGAAACTTGGGAAGTGTCGCCAAAATCCCAATCCAAACTCATATTAAAGTCGCCTATATTTATGTCCGTGGTAAGCCCATGAGGACTAGAGAGAAAAATTTATGCGAGGAGTTGTGGACAACAAGTGATAGTTTATGATCCGAAAGATGGTACATGTGAGCACTATTGCAATAAAGAAGTTAGATGTGTGTGTATGATAGATAATGTGATGTATATAACATGGCGAGAAACAAACTCCAGCAAGTCAGCTAGCCATATGGATTGACAAGCAGATTCGAAACAAACTATCCGCGATACGGGGTACGGACGATCACAGATACAACTCAGGCTTACAAGCTTGGTTTGCATCTAGACTCTAAGGCCAATCTCTTGTATTCTCAGTCTTCAAATTTCTCAGTTTTAGAAGTATAACAATGTACTAGCAAATGTTATTTTTTTCTTGAATTTAATTTAACATTTTATTCAAAAAAAAAAAAAAATGTGATGTGTATAACTCTCGCTCCTCTTGGATTTATGTGGTATGACTCTAAAGAGAAGGAATGGAGAGTTGTTAATGGTTTGAAGCTTGACTAGTATTGTGCTATCAAAATCACAATGACTGAATTCAGTTTAATGATTCATTAAAAACTTCAAATCTACTCTACAACCATTTTATAATTACAAAAAAAAAAAAATGAAATAGATACATAGTGAATAAATAAATTAAAGACATATGAATACTGTATTAGTGTATTACTGTTCTAATAAGGAAAAAAAAGGTATTTAATAATACCTCACATCATAGATTTTTTTTTTTCTCTTTTTTTTTTTGGTGTTAAGTTTGGAATATGTGCTCGATCACTCGAGCTCGTAGACACAAGCACTGACCTATGCTTAAATGCTACCCACGAGCCACTAGCGACAAGCACGGTAAACATCAAATACAATTGTTATTATCCTCTTCTTGTAATAAATAATTGTCCCACCAATCCAAACTTTGAGATAGTTAGTCTTACCAAAAAAAAAAACTTTGAGATAGTTAGCGTGAGATAGTTAGCGTGAATTACACCAAACATCTCAATTTTATAGTCAATTTAATAAAACACAAACAACGAGAAGAAGAGAAATTGCAAATATATACTATTTATAATATGACAACTTACATTTAGTGTTCGTTCATCCCCAAGGCGGGTGTGTAATTAAAAGCTGATGATGACAGAGAGAATATCACCAGCAGAGACAAGACACACAGTAACAGAGAGTTTTTAGAGACTCTTACAAACACATCATAACAAGCGATAAAGACAGAGAGATACCCAGAAAAAAAATATTACATGGTTGAGTGAATGTAAGAACACAAAAGATAAAAATAAGAGAAGATGAAATCTACTACCAAGGCTTTAGAACCATATGGATACATCTTGCTGCTTCTGCTGCATCCCATCCATCGTTCCTACTACTCCTGGCATCGACATATCATCTCTGTAATCGAATGATGCCATGTCGAACGGTGTGGAATCAAACACAAGCTGGAACCTGTTGCTGCTACTGTTATTGGTGTTGTTATGTGCAGCTTCAAAGTTGTTGTGATGTGCAGTGTCGAACTTAAACCCATTGTTGTTGTTGTTGTTGTTCCCTTGGAAATACGTTTGATTGCTGCTGTTGATGTTGTTTGCTCTGTTTGGGATGTTCAAGTCTTCAAAGAAACTTCCTTCCACCATGTTTCCTGGGAACTGGAGATGTTCTTGATGATTCTGGACTGTTGGCTGAAGCAGTGACACGCTTTGATTTTCCATGACCATAGAAGTTTGGTTGCTCTGGACGTTTCTGTCATACATGGACATGAGCTCGGAGATCATCTTCTGCCCATCTTCAGGAACTATACCCGTTAAGTCGATTGGTTGGGCCACAGAGTTCACTGGCCTCGGCTGAGAAAATCCAACTACAGGCTTAACTTCATTGACATGGAACCTGGATGCTGCTGCTCCATACGGTAAGCAATTGTCTCGATGTGAACATGCCAATTGATGGTTGTCTCTTGAATTCCTATCCAGAAATCCCCGGCTGATTTCGCTGTGTGCACACCCAAGATTATCGCAGGTGAAAACCGTTCTGTCCATAATAGTGTTCAGATCTCTGTTTGTCTTCCTCTTTCTCATGAATTCCGAGTTTCCAGTTGGGACTTCTTCTTTGACAGGAAAGTCATGCATTTTAGCAGTCATCCCAAAGTTTGAAGAATTCATCACTTTCTCTGGCTTGAGCTCTTCCACTTCATAGTGAGACTCCTTCTCGAAACCTTCAACATCGTATTGACTGCAATCATTCATCAGAAGCGAGCAACTTCCACCAGACAAAGAAAGAGGTGGACAAGACTCGGGATAAAGCTCTCTAGCCAAGGACTCTTCTTGGTTAATAATGGCAAGCCAAGTAGCACTCTCTTTAGCAGTCATCTTATCCTGCAAGCATTTAGATTGCCTCACGAGCTTACGGATCTTAGCAATATCAGGAAACATATGCTTGATAACTGCAGTCAAAACGCCGACTTTCCACGCCTTCTTCAAATCATGAGGCTTTTTGTAAGGTGCAGCACCTTGATCTTTAGGCAAACCGAGTTGAGGCCACCAATCCTCGTTCCCGCTAGGCCACCACGGAGGAGGAACACCTTTCTCCAAAGGAAACCGTCTCTGAGGAGGATCACAGTGTTGCATCAACGCAGACAAAAGCGATCCAAGAGTAGTGTCTTGAAGCTCTTGCAGAGTGTGCGGAGTTGGCCCAATCGGATTGTTACCTTCATGTATCCCCGGGATATTGTTCTCCGCTTGGTATTTCGTAATAGCCGCAGGACCATTACGATCAAACCTGACCTTATCTTTCCACCACTCCCGGAGATTATCAGAAGCACCAGTCACAGGCTTCCCATTTTCCGGAATGATCCCGTAAACAAAGCCTTGAGCTTTACACACTTCCATCATCTTCAACATATACTTCAAGATCCCATCTTGAGCCCTAGACATTTTCTTCCTCCTAGCTTGCTCTTGAGACTGCCTCTGTTTAGCAGCATCAACACCTTCTTTGCTCTTATCCTGCTCCTTGAGACGTTTAAGCCGCATTTTGTCCCTCCACATCCTCCTCTCCAATTCATCGACATCGATCTCATCATCAGTATAGTCATCTTCAACAATCGAATCAGGCTCAACTTGTGGAGCAGTACAGAAATCAACTTCACCAAGAGATCCAGAAGAGAAGAAATCCATGTTTCCACACATTCCCATCTCGTTAAACATCATCGTGACCCAAATTAACCTGTAACAAATCAATACACAAAACAAAAGAAATCATCATTAGAGTATATTTCTTCTGAATCAAACAACTTACTAAAAATCATCAAACCCTAAACCTAGAAATTTTTTTAAAAAGGGGTTTTCGAATTCAATCAACGTTTAAGTAATAAAAACATCATCAGATCGTATTTTATCAGTCCAAAACTAAATCATCAATTGGATAAAAAAAAAAACTTAACTACAGATTCAATTTCCAAAAAAAAGATGAGATCTTCAACAGAGGAAAATAAAAAATCCAAGGAAGATTGGAAAAAATCGAGGAAGCCCAAATATAGAAAGGATCATATATGAATAAGAAAGAGAAAATATTTTCAAATAGATCAATCATATATAACAACAAACAAAAATTCAACCAAAAAAAAAAAAACAAATCGTAGAAACTAAAAGTAGTATATACTCATCAAATTAGATCGTGTAAACACTAGTAATCCAAAGTAAAACCATCGATCTACTAAAACCCCAAGAATTAAACCTATCATCTTCAGTATCAATAATAACCCTAAAATCAAATCAAGTAGGAGAAAGCGTAGTACCTGGAGAAATGAAGAGCAGAAGAAGAATAAAAATGATAAAGAAAAAAGGTCTCTGCCTTTTCTACGGTGACGGGAAAAAGAAGGAGAAGATAATAAACCCTAATTTCATCAAAAAAAAAACTTCGACAAAAGTTAGAGAGATACGAGATGAGGAAGAGGAAGAAGAAGAAGAAGAAGGAGAAGAAAAGTCGACGAAAGATCACGTGGCTAGAAAGCGACTTTTGTTTATTTGCGTTTCTTTGTGGAGTCTCTGTAGATCAGGAAGAGAGATCATCATACTAGACTCTATTTATATATATATATATATTACTCTAATTTCATTTTTACACAATATTTAAGACATCATTTACTATTCTTATTACACAATTAAGAAATAATTAACAAAGCGCCTTTTGGCACTACTCACTGCTTCTCGTTTGGTTTTTTTATTTTATTTCACGCGGTGTGTAATTAATTGTTTCTTACGCGGGGTGTTATTTATTGCTACGTTTTGTATTTTCCTTTTTCATTTTTGGAATAATGGTTTAAAAAATAAAAAAATATCCATTATCCATACCTCATTAATATCGGAATAAAAAAACGCACACTTTTTTACATCATACTAGTACTATACTATACTAGTATTTTATTACAAGTAGAAAAGTTTCCGTCATCATCGACAACTATTATCGATTAAGACAAATCTGCTCTCAAGAGGTGAAAAAACTATTTTAATAAGTTTTCCTGCTTCTTGATTTCTTTTTTTTTTATTAATTATTTTCACGTTCTCCGAAACTAACCAAAGGGAGTGTTAAATTTTATGTCTTCTTTTTTCCACTTTTCTAGTGTATGTCTTAAAATATCCAAAAAAATTGACTAATGGAGAGAGATACAAATATGTTTGGATTACAACATGAGCCTGAAGACAAAATTTGGACTATGAAGATCTATGAAGTTGGATTTGTTGGGATCTAAGTGCTGGAGATATATATTCTCTCTGGGTTCTTCACTTACTCCACTTTGTGTTGCATACTCTAATGCCATCTCGTAGTCCACCTGAAACCACCACAAAGATTCAGCAAGAATAACAATAGTGATGATGCAGTAGAAACTTATCATGAGAAGTGATTGATGCAAAAAAAAAGACCTGTTCTACATGCTCAGCAAGCTTTTCTTTCAATGTTTCTTTTGTGATTATATGTTTAGATACTTTGTTAAGCATAACTGTGTCTTCCTCTCCGTAACGTTTTCTCTTTGTTGTATGTTCTTCTGTCATTTGTTTCAGAACCTCGTACACTGCCCCTGTTGCATCGGGGATGTATCTGCAAGCATTTCCAGTTTTGGTCATCTTTTTTCAGGGTTGGAGCATAAAATGGGAAGGAAACTGATTATCTTGTTTTCTGTTTTCACCTGCTCAAACTGCGTTTTCGCTCTTGTTGTTCACGGGCTTGCAGTCTCTTGACAATTTTGGATTTCAGTTGGATGCAGCATTGTTGAATTGCAGACTAGATGGAAATAAAGGCGGAAAGTTAGATTTAATAAGATGTCGGATAACGTCGAAAAGTCTTTTCTTAATGTTACCTTGACTGCAGTAGCAATCTCACTGATGTCATCTCCTATGTACTCTTTCCCTGTCCCTTTGAATGGAATTTTTGTACTCACTATGCTCACAAATACTCCTATTTTATCTTGCGTCTGGTTGATCTTATAACTATTCCAACTGCAAAGTTATTTCATACCACTAATAAAAAAAAGTTGGAGAAAGATACCAACGATAACTATATACAGAGAGGAATGTAGCAAGCTAAAGAAAGAGTCTCACTTGATTCTTTTTAAGGCAGTCCTGGTGACAACATCAGCTCCTTGTTCAAAAAGGAGAGGAATACGGTTTGCAAAACGGAATATGTTGATCCCCTGCCATTTCAGTTCCAACAAATTCCCAAAATAATCCATTAGATAGTAGAAGAGTGAGATCGGCATAAAAGATAAAGAGCAATGGTTATGGATTCATGCTCAAATTTTAGCTCAACCTTAAATCTATCGGAACTTGATGACACATGAATAAACAATAGGAGGATATGACTTGCCTGTTTTACATCTCTTCCACCCAAACTAACACCAGCTTCAACAATGAAAGGATGACCTTCGAAGACCTGAGC